GAGAAGGTACAAGCCTCTAAATACATTGCTAGGAAGCATAGAAAACAGTACATACCCATGTCTCCAAACTCCAACACCAAGAGAGGAGACCCAGAGAACCTCAGAACCCCTTATGGGAGTTCATCTGATCTAAAACTCTGTGGAATAAACAAAGTCATATTAAGAGCACTGACACAGGCAGGCTGAACCTCAGTAGGATGAACATTGATAGCTGAAAGGGACACAGGAATGGGCTGGTAAAGGCAACACTGAAATCCATGCAAGGTTAGTGAGACCACTGATTACACTTGGAAAAATGGAACTGGGGTGGGCAGCAGCATTTCATGTCAAGGGCCGGAAAACATCTAAGAACAACTGGACTTACTTTTAAAGGAAGGCAGAAATTCAACCTCACAGGCAAACTGATGGATCCCCACTGAGACCCTGCATAGTCATGTTTGAAGTGCACAAAACGGTAAGCAGCTCTCTCACCAGCAAAGTTAAACTGATAAGACTTCTCAGGCAGCAGAGGGCTTTCCCTCATCCTCTAATCAAGGAAGAAATTTAAACTGGTATTTTTGTTTTATTTATTTTTTTATCTTTATTCTTACATAAATATTTATGTCTATCTTTATATTGCTCTCTTAGATTGAATACTATTTCCACTACTGTGTCTTTCCAAGTATTTCTCTAACCTACAACCCATACACTTTCTAATTTCTACTTCATTTTATCTTTTCTCTCTCCTACTCCCTCCTCTACAGACTCCTAATTGCAATTTTGTAATGTCAATAAATTTTAGGATCTGTTTCTTTCCTGACACTTTCTCAATTCCTCCCTTCTATTTACTATGCTATATGAATTCTTTGTCATATTCAGTTTACTGTCTTTCCATGCCTACATTTAGTGGGCAATATCCTAGCAAATACTTACTATCCTTGTTCCTTTATTCCCTATTGATTATTCCATTTAAAGGAGATAGTTGTTTGTTGACTGAAGTTTCTGTCCTGTCCAGTCCCGCAGCCATTTTGTTCCAAATAAATACACAGAGGCTTATACTAATTATAAACTGATTGGCTGATGGCTTCTTATTGGCTAGCACTCTGTAA